CTGTTAATTCAACGCTTTGCGTTGAATTCAGAATAAACTATTTCTGAGCTCTCAACGATGTCAACAGTTTCAACGACAACGCCAACGAAAACGCCAACGCGTTGTCAACGAAAACGCAACGGGTTGAATGCGTTGAATTTTTGCAATACAACTGGCCGGTACTGTATGATGAAGACGAATGATGACAATGCTATTAATGATATTGATAAATTATGATTATGATTAAGGATAAATAATGACAAAGATAAATGATGTTGGCAATAATAATAATAATAATAATAATAATAACAATAATAATAATAATAATAATAATAATAATAATAATAATAATGTGGATTAATTGTAATTATGGCCATGGTGACTATGACGTCATGCTGCACAAGTTTCTAAAAATATTATTGACGATGACAACGAAAATGGTGGGAATGGCAATGATGCTGTTGATAGCAGACAGCACTTTTGGTGGTGGTTGCGGTGGTGGTGGTGGTGGTGATGGTGATATGATTGTGATTATAAAAGATGACAATGTTTGTGGTTGGTGAACTGCTCAGGTAATTTAAAAACTTGAAAGAATGCTTACCTGTTTGACAATACATTCCAGTGAAACAACTTGAACATACACACGAGTAACTGGTACAGCCGTTTGGCAAACAAAGTCCACCATTCTGGCATAGGTTGTTGCTGCAAATGTCAACGGCTGAGGGGGGGGGGGGAGGAGAGGACAGATTAATAATTTTCTTAGTGTTTATCCTACATGATTGAATCATGCTAAATATTGTATAATCACAACTTGTTTGTACACAAAAGAAAAAATGATCATAAATGATTGGGAAGGCATTCAATCACCTTACGGTAGACCTTTTACACATTACAATAAACCATAGATGCCTACCAAATGAAATATTTCTATTAAAACATTTAAGGCTTGCCAACCCAAAACCAGCATACTGTTACTAAATGTTGAAATGAGTGCTTAGCATAATATTACTGTGGTAGCATTGTACACTTTAGTACAGAGAAGCTATAATACTTTTACTCATACCTTTGGCAATAGTAAGTCAATTCAGTAAATGACCTATTATTTTAAAGCTTATAATGCGGAGGATGTGAATATATCACACGGTCAATTTTCTTGTTTTGGTCACTGAAGCTGACATGGCATGGTAAGTCCCACTTAGTTGTGACTGTCAATCAATATACATCTAAATTCACAGTTTTCTTAAGATGAATTTTCTTTTTGGGTAAATCTGTACATATAACTGTATGTATTTTTTATATAAAAAATATGTTTAGTTGATGAAGACTTACATGTCTGGCAGTTTGTTCCCGTATAGCATTGTGGACATGTGCAAGTGTAGAGAGTACAGGAACCTGTAACTGGATTGCATACTCCTCCATTTAAACACTGGTTTGAACAGGCTGTCATCGCTTTGGTGGGGAAAAAAAGTAATTTAATATAAATAATGAAGAATGATACAAATAATTCATGTAACAAGAAATTAAATTTACTGAAAAAAATTAAGAATACTTTTTTTTAATTGCCTTTGTAGGATTCTAGGTTATTTTTACCTCAATTTTTGAGAGAGAAATCTATGATTTAAAGTCACTTTGTTCTCAGTTGTATAGACTTGAGTTTCAAGTATCAATGAGTGATACTTGACTCAACTTACTGATCAATTTCCATCTCATCGGAAGCCTGTAAAGTAAATCCTTGCTGAGCCATGGGGCTCATAGGACTGGAGCCAGTTTCTGTAGCGTGTGATACGCCTTCTGGGTGGGATAGTCAATCGCAGGTTACTCTCAGAAACTTGCTGGTACCCATTGATAAAGCTAATAGACTGAAGCAAAGTGCCTTGCTCAAGGACACATGCAAAATGCACAGCAAAGGATTGAAACCTCGATCTTGAGGTTAGGAAATCAAACCATTTCCGCTGCGCCAAACCACTTCCGAAAAGCCTGAGTTACCTCCGAATTTGACAACCTAGCATTCTCCCTAAGGACTGATGAAGGTTACATATTGTACTGGTTTGCCAATGTAGGCCCTATTATATTTAAGCATCCCTTGTATATAACTGTATTGTATTTACTGTTATGTTTGGCAGGTAATAGCTCTTGATGGGTGATGAAGCAATAAAAATTGAATTGAATACAGCATACAATTATGAGGGGTATTAAGAACATCACTAACACCTTCAATCCTTTGGTAAAATGTGTGGTTATTACAGTGTTACGTTTCATAACCATGATTTCAGAGTCAACTCCAAAGTTAATGATATAGAGCCTTGTGTTCTTCTGTTTGAAAATACTGTAGTACTTCAACTAGATCTCTACCATGATCACATTCATGCATGTTTTACAATACCATTCACGTTATTAAAAGGTATTGTACATAAAAAACAAATTTGCTACAAAACTTGCAGTAGTTATGAGTGGACAATAGAGCTAAAGTAACAACAGGAAAAAAAAATATATGCTCAAGTTTGGGCTGATAAAGTAGATAATTAATATTCTTTTGAGATATGTATACTTTCAATGTTTTGGTACATTGTGTACAAAATACAGTTAAGGTACCCAAATAACAAGGGCAAATTTCCTTTCAATGAATTTACTTTTTTGACATTATAAGCTATGCTACAGAATCTCCATAATACAGAGTCAGATGATGTGGAGTAAATTATATAGTGAGGAACTACAGACTTACGTGTCTCGCAGTTTACTCCAGTATAGCATTGTGGACATGTGCAAGTGTAGAGAGTACAGGAACCTGTAACTGCATTGCATACTCCTCCATTTAAACACTGGTTTGAACAGGCTGTCACAGCTTTGAAGGAGAAAACAAAATGTATACAAATTATTATTATTGTCGTTCACAATTTGAGACTTTAGCACAATTTGCAAATTGTGCAAGCTCTTCCATGCACAATTTGCAAACTGTGCAAGGAAATCTTGCACAACTTAAAAACTGTGCAAGGATTTGTTGGCACAATTTGAAAATTTGTGCAAGGAGATTGTTGCATAGTTTTAAAATGTGCAGACAATTTGCAAACTGTTCTGGGGTAGCTCGAGCACATTTTAATCGATTTGCACTTTTGATACTATCTTACTAATTATTTTTACTTATTATACGTTGACATGGCTGTATGATCATGATCATGACTTACATTGATTTATATTTATTATTCAATCTTCTAGTAAAATGCACATATTGCAGCACATGGCAGAATTGCATATGAATTTAAAAAATTTAAAACTCTAATATATAAAAAACAAGCATTAAATTGACAACTCACTTAATAGTGAATATGAAAGCAAAAATTAAAGGAAAAATGAAAAGTCAGTCAAAGGCAAATCATCAAATTAAAATGCGAGACTAGCTTGGGCCTAGCCAAACCTAGGCCGAATTAATTAATATGAATACTTTCAATCATCATAAAAGTCTTTAATCTATATAATCTATTTGTCAACTTATCAATCAATTAATCAATTAATGTTCAATTTAATATAATTTCTTTAATAATTCAAGCCCAGGTCTGGCCTAAAGTGAGGTTAACCCTGAAATAGAGGGCAGCAGGCTACAGCAAGGTTGAGCTTAGGACTAGCTAGGCTAGATAAAACTATCAAACCTATTAGTAATTAATATAATATGGTAAATCCTTAATAAATGAAATTTTTATTCCTATTTTATTCCATTGTGCTACCAACCATGTCCCACACACATGGCCTAGGCTAGGCATAGTCTACACCTAGGCTACTTTTATCACTACAAATTTTCCCATCCTTTAAGACTTCGGAAATGATGTATATCTCGTAAAAATACATATTTAATCATACAAACTGTGCACAACATTATTATTAATACTATTTACATTAACCATTCTCAAGAGAGAACATTTGGCAAATGCAAATCATTTTACCTTTTCATTTCATTTATTTAGTCCAAAGAATATACTGACAGACACGACAGAGAGAGGAAAAAACACTGAATTGGCCGGACTGTTTAGTAGCTCTCAAGAGAGAATATTTGGCAAATGCAAATCATTTTACCTTTTCATTTCATTTATTTAGTCCAAAGAATATACTGACAGACACGACAGAGAGAGGAAAAAACACTGAATTGGCCGGACTGTCTAGTGGTTCTCCGTTGCCAAGGAGAACATTAATTAACATAAAAGTTAAGTAAAAATATGATTAAAAATATAAAAAATAATTTTTTTCAAATCATTAAATATATTATAATGATGATGATGATGATGATGATGATTATGATCATGATCAAATGATGAAGATGAATGATGATCTTCGTTAAGAAAATATTATCATTAATGATGACAATGATGATGTGATAACAATATTGATGATGAAAGATGTTGGCAATAATGGTGGTGGTGATGATAATATGGGTGATACTAAGTAATTTAGAAAATTGGGCTTACTTGTTTGACAATAGGTTCCTGTGAAACAACTAGGGCATACACACGAATAATCGGTACAGCCATTCGGCACACAAAGTCCACCATTCTGGCATAGGTTGTTGTTGCAAATATCAATGGCTAGGGGAAAATTGAATATTGTGAAGTTTATTATATTGGTAGTTTAGATGGGTGCCTTCCAATCCCAGGGTCCTGGATTAAAATCCTGTCAGCTGGTGTTGCAAGAGTTTTTTCTCCACCCCCTAAGCCTCATAATGAGACGAAGAATCATAGGACATAGGACAGTGATATATTTGCTACTGACAATCCTTGGCACATGTGTGTGCTTAAAGTAATAAATAAAATTATAATGATTTCAGAGTTTATCATGTAAGACTACCAGATAGAGTCATACTAAGTTCAATTCTATAATCACAACTTGTAGACCAGAAGACTCAGGGGTTAATGGATAGTCGCCATTATGGCATTCAGGATATATGGACATATGTAAAATGACCATTCACAATAAGTAGCTGCAAAACAGAAGGTTCCGCTTTACACAAGGGTCTATAGCTAAAATGACAAAAAAAAAAAAAAAAAAAAGAATATATGGTAGCCACACTCTTCAGTGGTTTGTCCACGTAATAAATAAAAAATGGAGCGGTATCTAGGCGGAAGCTTTAAATCCCAAGGTTGTAGGTTCCAGCGGTGGCACCAGAAATTTGCCGACAAGGGGTCTGACGTGTCAGACAGAGGGGTCGAAACCAAGGCAACGACAAAGCCTCAGTCGATGGGCCGGAATTAAAAAAATCCTGTTAGGGTTCATGGGGAGAGTTTTAATGGCTTAATTTAGTCTTAAATGTGCTTTTAGACCTCAATATTTTGAATTGGCAATCAAAATAGTGTTATTTGGATAGACAAATTACTATTTTTTTAGATTTTTGGTCCAACATAGATTTGGGCAAATTGCATTCTAGAATCCACACAAAGAGAACCTAATGTTCTTGCATGCGCAGAGAAAATATTAGTGACATCATTACGTTCTAAATCCTACCGCTTCGTGCAATCAAAAGCTCCCTACTAACAGCTAGTCTAACTGGTCAAATTATCAGACCATCTCACGATAGTCTCCTATACAGATCTTCTGCTGTAAAACAGCCTTAGATATTTGATGTCGTCACCAAAATGATAAGCTTAAGACTTACTGTACCTGTTTGACAGAATACTCCAGTATAGCATGCAGGACAGGTACATGAATAGCTTGTACACTGGCCTGGATCAATGGTGCATACTCCTCCATTCTGACATAAACTGGTTACACATGGGTTTGCCACTATATATATCAAGAATCAAAATTTCATCTATTACCATATAAAAGTAAAGACAAAAATAACTTGTCATGACCTTAATAAATATAAAATATAATTATACTGATGATGTAAATATACAAAAAAAATATACATAACACTACAGTACATCTACAGTATACATCTACAGTATACTACAACAATATTATTTGAAATATACAATAGGGTTTGTGAGTGGTACCGAGGCTTGGTTATGTGTACATGATAAATTATTGTTGCTTTATATATAACTTTTTTAATATTAATAATACTGTAATTAAATAATAACTATTTAAATGTTATTTCTCACTTCAGTAGTAAGTAAGTTTACCAACTTTATCTTTTCCATTTCATTGGCCAACTTCATATTTAAAAGGTTCGGCCCAGTATTTTCTAAAGGTGCCAGCTAGTTACCGTAGCTCCTAGTATTTTTACAATACTTTTGATTATTCAAAAAGTTTACACAACCTAAACTAACATTATAAATAAGCAAACTTATATTTGTTGTTGCAGATGAGCATGACTGCCATCAGGTTAAAGTGCAGAGATGAGCTAGTTCACTCTCAGGCAATCGAGTGGCAGCATCTAAATCTAGTATGTTCATACGATTTACATAATGAACGTTCTATGTATTATTTTCTCACATTTCATTTTTCACTAAAGGATTTTAACTTTGGGCCCGTTTCTACTGACGAGAAAGAACCGTTCTTTTTTGTGGCAGTAGAAATGGGGCCCACAAAAAGAACTGTTCTTTATTGGCATTCAAAAGAAAAGTTCTTTGGCACAGAATCAATACCATGCAAGGAATGCTAAAGAACTATTCAATAATGATCAGAAATGTTGGACTTATTCTCCCCCACCCCCCACCCAGTCCTACGATATCATAATGTATTATTAGGAGGAATCAATAAAACTAATGTTAAACTTCTATTCTCAACACAATAAAATATTTTCTTTTGTTAAGTAACAAAAAAAGTTTAACCTTTGTTATATTCAACACCAGGTCCGACAAGAGCCATTATTATATTATTATTATATCCAGATAGGAGGAATCATCATGGCTGTTTAAAGCTTATATTATATAGATTATTTCCATTATTTTAAATTGCATTCTTGGTAATTTTTACGTCATTATGTAAAGAATCAGTCCGGTATCAAATACACAATTGTTTCATAAGGAGTCGAAATGCAGTAGCATAATGGTTCTTTTCTTGGTAATCCGATAATCAACCAATGATAAAAGAACCGTTTCTATCTCAATTTTCTGTAGAAACACACCCTTAGAGACTTACTTGTTTCACAAAACGTTCCACTGTAACATACAGCACATGTACAGGTGTAAGATGTACAACTTCCAGCAACAGCAACACACACAGACCCAGAGGAGCATAGGTTATTGTCACAAGGATTAATAGCTATCGATAGAAAAGAATATGTTCATGATTGACTAGTATTTGAGGATACAATAGAAAAAATGTCTAGCATCTATTTCAATCTCTGTAAGTATATTTTAATCTACTTCAATTATGGAGTAGTATTTTACAATTTATTTCAGTCTCAGTGTAGCATGGTTTAATCTATTTCAATCACTTGGTAGCATTGTATAACCTACTTCATTCTGTGTAGCATGATTAATTCTACTTCAATCACTGTATAGCATGATAATATGGACTTAAGTCTACTTCCATCACTGTGTAACATAGTTTATCTGTGTAGCAGGAGTAGGTAAAAGTACTTGGTGGATAACCCACAATGTCCAAAGACTTGTTTTCTGTGGGGTCCTTCTTGTGGCAAATTGGGCAGTACACCGGAGACAATCCTATACAGTTTTTATGAAGAATGTTTAATCTACTACAATCACTGGGTACCATAGTTTAATCACTGTGTAGCATGGTTTAGTCTATTTCAATCAATGTGTACCATAGTTTAATTACTATGTAGCAGGGTTTATTCTATTTCAATCACTGTGTAGCATAGTTTAATCACTGTGTAGCATGGACTTAATCTATTTCAATCACTGGGTAGCAAGGTTTAATCACCATGTAGCATGGTTTAATCTATTTCAATCAATGTGTACAATAGTTAATCAATGTGTAGCAAGGTTTAATCTATTTCAATCACTGTGTAGCAAGGTTTAATCTATTTCAATCACTATGTAGCATGGTTTAAATGGTGTAATCTATTTCAATCACTCTGTAGCATAGCTTAATCACTGTGCAGCATCATTTAATCTATTTCAATCACTGTGTAGCATCGTTAAATCTATTTTAATCAATGTTTAACATCGTTTAATCTATTTCAATCACTCTGTAGCATAGCTTAATCACTGTGCAGCATCATTTAATTTATTTCAATCAATGTTTAACATCGTTTAATCTATTTCAATTAATGTTTAACATGATTTAATATACTATTCTATTTAGTTACCTTGCTGACACATGGCTCCAACATAGCATGCTGGACATGAGCAGGAATAATCAGTACAGGAACTTGCCAAAGGTACACATATACCACCGTTCAAACATGGATTAACAGCACATATCTCAACCGCTGGAAAAATACAACAATTTTCAAATTTCAATTATATGGTGGTTTGAGAAAAAAAACTCAAATTTGTAGTTAAGTTATCCACCTTTTTTTGGTTACCATATGTATATATCTGCTTTTAAAATTTTGTAGTTAAGAACTGAACCACTTTGGAAACCAGTACTATGTATTGAAAGTGTATATTCAGTATAAAGAAAGAATAAATAAATAAATAAATAATACCTCAGAATAGTGTAAAATGGCCCAAAATTGCCTAGTTTTAATCTGTCAGACAGCTTATCTGTCACTCCACCACTACCCACCCGCTTCCTCCATTGGGCAAATCAGCAAACTGTGACACTTCATCAATTTCAACCACCCTGAAACTTAGAAATACCAGGTTGGTGTCCGGCGAGAGATAGTTTCACTGGCCGTAGTTAAGATGCTATTTTTTTGTTGTTGTTTTTTTTTAAATTTATTTTGTTTTAAATAATTTTGTTTCTTTTGTTTATGTATGGCCTTGATGAAAAAACCCATGGGTGATTCAAGTGTCTCCATGTTTAAATAAAGTATATTATTGTATTAGTGTAGACTTACGTGTTTGGCAAAAGAATCCTGTGTAACAAGCTGGACATACACATGAATAAGCGTTGCAGTTATTAAGATCTGGTAGGCACAAACCACCATTTGAACAAACACTGTTTGCGCATGGATCAATTGCTGGAATAAAGAACACAAGTGTTTTTCAGATACTTTTTTATACATTGATCAAGTGAAAATATATTTACAAAATACTGACAAAAGAATTAATTCTGTTAAAGCAATTCAAAATTCAGTTTTAAATTATGTGTACAGAGTAGAGGAGGGTGTGTATTGTGTTTAAACTTTCACCAATTCTGCATCCAATGTACATCTAAAAAATAGATTTGAGACCTACAATAAAAAGATGAAAGCATGATAAATGAACTAATAGAGAGCAGCATATCACAATCATCTAAACTGGTGGTAGCTACTGTGTGTTTGCTAAACCATCAAATTCTTTAAGTCCTAACTGAACTCTATCTCTGCGTTCATACTCTTTGTTACAACTAAAGGGCTGAAATGCATATAAACCAATTTGAAGTTTGAAGTGCACATGCCCATATTAAGATCAATCGACATAAAACAAACATACACAAATAAGGTTTGTCGATTAAACTTGGATATGGGCACGGACAGTTCAAACTATAATTTGGCTTATTACTACAGCATAGTCTTTTCACCGTGTGTTCATTAATAAAATTTCATGTGTACATGTTAAAGGACTCTTGCAGGAAAACAGAGTAGAATATGTTCTACCATTGTAGAGACAACATTACCAATACTGTGCAAGTCTACTCAACAAAAAAGAATATGAACGTTAAAGGAAGATGACAACAATATAAGTGAGCTGTCATGAAAAAATGAGTCTTGTGGTACGCCGTCAATTCGATATACTGTATTCAAGAAAAAATATCTGAAGCGATATTTTGATAAAAAATTGGGTTTCAATTTTTCTGATAATTTTAATATGTATATTTCATAGTAGCAAAATTTCTGAGTTGAGTTACCAATTATGATTAATAATTATAATTATAATTGATGTAATCATCTTTTTGAGGCACATTTTGTAAAGCTTCTTTTCGACGTTAATAGGAAAACTAACACAAAATTTATCAGTTGTTTATCTTTTAGACGCGATTTTCAAACTTTAAAATGATCTTACTCTGGTTTTACTCAACCTAGGAACATGATTTAAACACCAATATTAGCTTATATATTCATCTATCTAAATATATCAATAACTAATTTTTCATGACAGCTCACATATTATAATAAGGACATCAACAACTTTGTGCAGTATTCAATAGGTGTATATAAAGTTAAAATTTCATCTTGTGATTTGAACAGATCATAGATTCTACACAGTAGGTCTACTTACCTGTTTCACAAAATGTACCCTGGAAGCATCCACTACACGTACACGAGTATGTTGTACAACTGGATACCGATGATGAGCATACGGCATTGTTCTGACAAAAATTTCCAGCACAGCCATCAACAACTGAAACAATGATTTATTTGATGATATAATATTTTCACATTAAGCTCATGAAAATAAATTTCATGCAATTGTAAGGTAGCAAGTTGACGTATAATGAAACATACATCTTTAATTTCTCACGAAGGAGGTTATACAGTTTAGTAATATGCAAAATAGCAAAGTATCATTGCCCTTTAAAGCAAGTTGCAATAAAAAATATCAAATTGATTATCAATTATTTGATGAAGCATCATTAATAAAACTGCTTTGTATTAATGCATGAAGATTGAGCCTTTTGTCCACACCGGTATATCTTTATGGACGGTATTTCTGTATATGTAACTTTGATAACACACCTAAGTCACATCTTGATCCTGTGTAACAACTCGGGCAGGTGCACGTGTATGCCGTACACGAACCTTGTGTAGCAACGCAAGCACCACCATTCTGGCATGGATTGACAGTACACCCATCCGACACTGCAACACACAATATATAGATTTATATAATATTTTGCATTATAATAATTTTAATCTTCATGATTATAATGATCACCATAATGATAAAAACAAAAAAAGCATAATAAAACAAAAATAATATTGTTAACAACAATAATACCAATAATAGTAAAAGCAATCTCATTTAGTACACCTTTGTTAAAACATTGTTAACATTTCCCATTTTAAGAATGATTTAGTTAAGTACTCCATGTCTTAATAAATATGTAGTAAGATTCCAGAGAAGCCTTGTTATGCAACATCATGAGAGAAATGACGTCTGGGAACACTGGTGTGAACGTGCAACATACTCACGTTCATCTATCGCACTATACCTAAAGAAAATCTACATTAGACTGAATTTTGCTTACTTTCATAAAAAGCAAAGTGATCTTAGATTACATTAATAAATTAGTTGTATATTACATTATAGTATATTGTATTATATTGTAGAGTGTATATATATTGTATATTGTATAGTGTATATTGTATAGTTTATTATATTATAGTAATGGATCCAAACCTAATAAATAAAAACTGCATGTTGAGAGTACAGACATTGTAAGAACTAAAACTAAAAATGGTATCAGAAAATCCTAAAACTTCAACATGTAACAATAACAATACTTATCTATGTAAAAGCATCAGAAGCATCAAACATTACTATATTAAAAATGAATTTAACTAATAATTAATTAATTTATTTATTTATTTATTTATTTTATTTAAATAATTTTAAAATATGTACAAGAAACTTTAACATTAAAAAAAAAACTATTACCGGATTAAGAATAATCAGATTTAGAGGAATGGTACTGTACCTGTCTCTTATACACATCTAGATGTGTATAAGAGACAGACTGGATCCCGATGATGAGCATACGGC